CAGTGGCCATTTTGAAACACCTTTTCTAAATAACATTTTCCGTCGAAATTATAATTTACTTCCAGTCGTTCGGTTTTTTTTTGCCAAAAAATGGATACGCCATATTTGTACTACGTACGGTCAGCACAAACTTATTAGAGATGCCTACGCATACAGTCAGCTATCCTATATCTTGTTAGTATGGCATTTTAGAGCGTGTCTCTACGCGTATTTCTGATACTTGCATACAAGTTTCAGGTATCACTGAAGTTGGTAAATAAAACTTATTTTCGAGTCGAAAATATTTAAATTTAGCACATAACTTTTATATCATCAGCCTTTATTATGTTGTAGTTTAATAATAAAATTACGTTAAGGAAGCGCGACGTCGTACTTGTATGCAAGTTACAAACAAGTAAATTATGCATAAGTGTGCGTGATCAAGTTATGTAGGCAACTTTTAAATGTAAAACGGTAAGTAGTTGAATAAAAAATTCAAAAAGTGTAAGATGAACTTGAAAAGGTGCTTATTATACTCATTGTAGAATTTTGTTCAAGTTACGGCAAAAGATAGTGAAATAATTCACCAACTTGGTATTTGTCTAACAAATTTGTACTTAATAGAAAGTCCAATTTTCATTGTGTTTTAAAAAGTTGTTCAAATTTGAGCATAAAATAAAGACCTCAAGTTTTATTTCATCTTCAATGTGAATACTGGGCATACTACCCGGGCTTCCGGCTGTACAAAGACTAGTGCCTAGTAGTAAGACGTATAAGTATTACATACATTAATTTACACTAGAGATGAAACGGATATCCGATAACTATCCGGTATCCGGCCTATTTTTACTATCCGGCCGGATATCGGATAATAGAACAATATCCGGCCGGATGCTAGATGTTCAAAACTGAGAAGAATTCATATTCATTTCTTGTCCGTGGTCCTACTGCAGAACCACGGACAAAAAATATTGCCCTTGGTACTACTAGTAAGACTACTCAGCAGGACCACGGGCAAAGAATGGGCCAGATACCGGATAATGTAACAATATCCGGGCGTATACCGGACGTTGAAAACTGAGAAAAATTCGGAATCAGTACGCCAAATAAATTGATTTATTGATTAAAGATGACAGTAATAGGGGAAACTGCAAATGTAGGATGGTTGACAATCTGTTTATTACTTATAAGTGAAAGAACTATAAAGTTAGATAATGTTTAGTGTAAATTTAGCACTCAAATTTCAATAAAGGCAAATTATAATCGATGAAGACCGGTTTTTCTACATTAAGTCGTTAAAGTCCAGAGACCAGCTTCAGAGGACAATTTTTCACTATAAACTCTTGAAAATTTTGTTAAATTTTAAGTACAACTTGTTATTGCCAGACGACCAAATGAAAGAATCGCGATCACGGTCGATTTGAACCATCTTCAAATACAATGGCTTAGAATTAGTTAGATCACAAACAAATTAATGAAATCAAATTGAAACAAAATAATGTCAAGTGCTAGGCTAGGCTAGGTACTTATAACAACTAGTAATTTTATTAATACAGCCGAAGGATGATGTAATTGCTTTTTCCTTCTCGACTGCGAAAAAATCGCATTGGGCACAACAAACAAACAACACTGATATTAAAACATTGCCAACTTTGCGCTTTCTTCTTCACTGTTCACATTTTACTATTAGGTGTTTGTGTTATCGAATAAATTAATCGTTTTTACAAAAACCTAGCGACCACGACAAATCAAATCGTCAATGTCAAAGTGCAATCATTCACTAATCAATCAATCAAGGTGATGCGCGTTGTACATCCGGCGGCCGGATATCCGGTATCCGGCCAAATCACTATCCGTTTCATTTCTAATTTACACATATAAACACTTTGGCATAATATATAGCCTATAACCAGCCTTATTAATAAGATATATTAATATTATATTTGTCAACAAAAAAAACGTAGCTGTGACAACATTAACTTTAAAGTTAAAATATAGTAAATAATAATAAAGTAAAAGAGAACAAAAATAATAAATAGCTTCGAGAATAGGCACACATTGAGCAAGCAAGCTAGTGTAACCGCATGGTCTAGTTCACGCCTAATGGGCGTCGACTCTTAAACAAAACACTCGAAAGTGGGTGGGCTTCAAGTATGCTCTGTACAATAAAAAATAATATTTTAAGGAAAAATAAAACACTGCGCACTGTAGTCGCACTACACATTTTAACTTTTCGTAGTTGTATACTATAAGGTACAAATAAAGCTTAATTTTAAATGTTTTATTTTGAACAATGTCATACAGGTAGCAGAATTCACCTTAGCTGTCAATTTTCTGGCAAGTAGACAGTCAACCTTGCTGGTAGTACACTTTTCTGTCTAGTTTGAGTAAATGAGCACCAATTTGCCATTGTTCACTGCCACCTCATCTCAACTTCGAAGATATCTTACCAATATAATATAATACTAACATATATTAAACAGATAAATAATGAATGGCGAAAAAGTTCATATTGTCCGCGAAAGTGCAATTTCGCTTACAAAAAGCTTCTTTTTTTGGGGAAAAGATAGTGGTAGTCCCTTTGTCATGCAACCAACTAGCGTGTATACCAGAGGCTGTCGGGGTGCTCCCAGAAGCATCACGTCAATTACGCTGCCACCTCCACCGCCGCCCGCGCAGGTTTCTGCGCCCAGAGATGAAGGCTCGTCCCTCTCTGACTCCAGATTGCATAGAGCTAGTGCCAGAATGTGACCTCTCTCATCCGTTCCATGAAATGGACACATTGAATTGACAGATGACTGTGAGATGGGGCTTGCAAAATTCGAAATCGCGGGCTCACGCCATGTGTTGCGGAAGATGACTCTTCCTTTAAACAAAAAGACAGTAACCCGACGACTACGCATCTTTCCGCTATGCGCCGGAAACATGGGAAATATGACCTTCTCCATATTCAGATCTAGTCATGGAATCACCATTCTTGACTCTATGATGCAGAGATTTAGCGACGTGGGTGTGGAAAAATATATGTCTGAATGCTCGCTAATAACTGATTTGACAAAGAAAATAAGAGGTGAGACTGCAGTCAGGCAGCGTTGGATGCCTTCATTCGCGCCTGCATTTCATGAGATTGATGTCGTCATGAACAGATGTATCGATGACGTGCTTCGAAACAGTCATTTTGAGATTACTAGTTCTCTATACCATCCCAAGTCCATGGCTCAATGGTTTGCCATGCTGTTAGTCGAAAAGACCAGAAGAGGGATAGTCAACGGGCTAGGACTTAGAACACCACTGTATTGCATTACATGGTGCGCTCGCCTGATCCTAGATCAGGAATACGACAAGTTGTTATTGTGCGTCGGCATTATTAAAACGTGGATATTGCACAACATGTGTCAAGATTGCGTATACAAGAGCTTGCGCGAGCAAAGAGAAGATTATGCATTCGACTACGTGTTTAACATTGCGGATTCATTTAGCCGCTGCATACGCCTTCCAGACGCTCGCACTCGCCTCGGAGTCATGCCCTGTGAGTCAGGAGCTTCACCAGATGTCATCAATCAAAATGGATTCATGCGCTCCTTTGGGGTGCACTCATTTCTAATGTCGCCCTACGCCAACACCTCTATCATGGTAGAGATACAAACTTTGGAAAACGCGCCGTTCAAGAAATTTCAAATGACTGGGAGACAGACGACCTCTCTCCTCATAGTCATGGACATGCACGCACGAGTATTACGCGCTACGAATTGGTCACAAGGAATGACAGTATTCGCAGCATGCCTAGCAGAGCGTCGCGTACAAGACGGAGCTTCGATGGTTTCGGTGCTCTCCCAGATCCTGCAGGATCTGATCGCCATTCGTGCGAGGTCCTCTGAAATGCAGACAACCATAGCCCATTTAACTAGTCTTCTCTTCTGTGGTAGACTCAACGGTGAGCTATTGCAATCGTACCAAGATTATGTCCGAACCAATACAGACGGCTCTGCTCACAGTTTCATAGTGAAATACTATTTCCTCAGAGCACCGTCTCCTGATATACAGCACCATTCCGAGGTCATGTTCAGTCGCTTTGAGCGTTCCAGTCCCTCTCAACGCGCACCTCTCTTTCAATACAAAGAATCAGCCATTCACAGACCCTATCTATATGAGTTGCTGAACGAAGATGTCGATCTTGCAGAACATTGGGGCATTGACATTCCCGAAAATTCCTTGACCACCGAGTTAATTCTTCTTCAAGGCGCTGAGTTTCATTCCCAGAGCGCCGTAGAGACGAAGAACAGAGAGAAGACCCTGGTCCTTCACGTGTCGTGCGCTTGCAGGGGCTACATCCCGATGAGATTGATGCTCTCCGAGAAATTAACAATGCTTTCGAAATTCATGAAGGAACGTCCTTTGAGAATCCAGATGCATCCAATTATACCGAATATCGTTCAATGCAAGACGAAATTGTCACGACGTACGAGGAAACGTCTTTCGTCGTCGAGCATGATGATAGCGATAGCATATCACACGATGATCCCTTGGATGAGACCGTTGTCCCATCAAACCTTGATTGTGACATGATGTAGTTTGCGTTTTGCGTACTTCATCTCAAACAATCAATATCTGACTATATCCCACTTGGAGCACACCACCAGGATTGTGCGAATATAGAGACTACTACGACAAGCTGAGCTTTCAGATAAGTGCCAAAAAAATTGTGGTATCAGTAGTGCTAATTTCCACCAAACATGAGTATATAACTGCTACGACTTGTAAATATCACCTATTAATAATAAAAACCACTGAGTCGCAGTGGTTCTTCTCTTCATTCACAATTACTATGTTTGATAAACTATGGCCTCAAACTTCAGCTTTTTATTTGTATTCATATTTAAAGAAAAAGGACACCTTTATTCTAGTCTAACTAGAGTTTAGTACTCACATCCTAATAAAATTAATAAATTACATTCTTAAATTAGGATAATGTCCTTAAAATGTAAAGTAATACATAAAGAGGAAGAATACAAAAGTGTAAAATAAAATAAGCAAATTTTAAGGAAAATTTGAGTACAGCCTTTTATCTCATGATGAGTTTAAAAATGGACTTACTAATTTGAAAACAGAACAAGAAAATTAAAAAAATTGGACATTTACCACTGAAAAATAAGTGGTTATGGATCCATATAGCACAATTCCATTTGGATTATCTAAGAAATTTGATCTCTACTTAGTCGCAGGTATTAAATGGAAAAATCTGTTGTAGTTGCAGCTTACCTTTTCATATCCTGGACTTCTTATAATATCCACCTTTTACCACTAGCAGATAATTTAACTTGTTTAAGTCAACAGATTTGTTATACTTTTAAAATTTTGAGCCAAAAATATCCTTCTAGAATAATGTGGCCTCAAAACTAACTTAATGGTAACTAGTACGTAACTTGAGGTGGTTTATAATGATAAGTATAATATCACTGTCCTACTATGGACAAAATAATTTGCACTAAATCTTTTTCCATTCTGAAAACAGATTAGACAGGTGCAGGCAGATTAATAATTTATACAGCCAAGAGTTTAAATTCACGATTTAAAATAAATTAATTTCATTCAACTCAGTAATTCAATAAAACGTCTAATAATGGTTCTTAAGCCAGCTGCGGACCTAAATATGGTGCTTGGTCACAAAAAAAACACTCTGGCACGTCAGTTTCTTCCATTTCAACTAGATTAGTGCTTATTTCATTTATTACTCTATAGTAGCGGCATCTCCGTGGACCAATACCTTGTAGCAGCGTGTCGTACGGTGGTGATAGAATGTCAAAAAATGCTGCCGGTGTATCTAGAGCCTGAATTTCATGGTAGTTTGAAACTGTTGGTGTCAAGATACAAGTGGAAGTGGTATCTCGGCATAATTTGCTAGTTGTTATTTCGGCAAATAGCTTTCTACGCTTGTGTTGACCTTGCGCCAGGCGTTTGGCCTCGATCTTAGCCCGAGTCGCAGCGTCGACAGCTTTCATCAGTTCTTTCACAGGATATTCCGTGTAACTTGTAATGTGGACCGCGCCTGATATCACTTTTAACAGGCCATGCATATGCGGGTGGTCGTGCAACGGCATTTTAAAGCCGGGTCTAAGTACGAATATACTCATGTTAATACTAGTGTTTTGGAATACTTCTATGTACGTACATGGCGCTTTGTTTGGCTTATTCCATACCAACATCTTTACAGTTTTATCGAAGCCTAAGTCTGCAGATTTCAGCGAATCCATCATAAACTTCAGTTTGTTCAAGTTGACTGAAAGATCGTTTTTGAATCTGTCATCGAACGTGTGGAGAGCGTGTCGGTATGTGGACACAATAGGCGGTATATTGACCAGTTCCATCGTAGACTTTGTTTCATTTCGTTTATCCATATGATATATGCCTGCACTAACACACAAGAATTTTTTTTTCTTCAATAAAGTCGGAAATAATCGGCGCGATAACAAAGCACAATTGTCAAGAAACGTCATTTTTGCTTTTCTAAGACGATTTTCTTGCACAGTTATCAGAGCTAATATGAATAAATCGCTGAATGATCTAAGAACTTTATCTTCTGCTCTAACGTCGTAATTAGCGCAAAAGAATAGAAAATAAACGTACATACAGCGCTCTCTAGTATTGAGTAGTAAAACTATTTTATCGTTACTGCCATCTGTTAATAAACCTAGCAACTATCTAGAGTGAATACGCACTAGATGGTTCGTGTACCAGATTATAGATAACGCTGTACGTTATCATTATAAATACCAGAGTAAAATAGATTGCGCCATTAAAACCTTAGTCATCATTTTGTAACTGTGTGTAGTAGGATTGGATTTAAAAAAAAATAGGAATAAGCAAACTTTAATGTTCATGAAATGTTTTCATATTAAAATGTTACTGAAATACATTTAGTTCTCCGGCGACACGTCACTAACGCACTAGTGAGTAATACGATCCTCGCCGACTAATTGCACGAGTTAAATAAATGTGAGCACAGCTTCTTCTGAGGAATGGCGCAATGATAGCTTTCACAGCTAATGCACTACCATTGACGTCATAATGAGAGTACCTACAGTGTACCACACTAATTTTAATCAAGCAGTAATTTATAGTTTATATATCTACAGCATCACATATTATCTATATATACATATGTATATCTAACCATTGGTATGTATACTTATTAGGTTATTATGAACTAGTAAGGGTGGGTAGTAGTTATATCAAATTTGATTTTGCTTAGGCCAAAGGCTGTACAAAAACTTCAGGAAAATTAAAAGCTTTTAATTAAGTAGACACGTGTAATCATATCAAAAAGAACTATTTTTACAGCATCCTCCCAGCCTCGTTTGATGAACATCAAATTTTACGAGAAGTGAACGGAA